AGCCAAAAACTTATATAATAGGCCCTGAGTTCAATTCCCAACACTGAAGAAAAACCCTCAAAAACATAAATGCCGAAAAACTATTAAATAAAAATCAATTCAGCAAGGCTGAATTATTATAATGATGGGTAACAGATAAGTTCATATAGACAGATTTGAAAATAAATCAGATATGTTAGTAGATCCTTATGTTTTTTTCCCTACATGTCTCTCATATTTTTTTCCACTTAAAAACATGATTGTCTTATTCCTGTTATAGAACAAAACATTGTTATATGAATAAAAAAGTAGAGCAGATTAATAATATAGAGAAATGAGAAATCAAGAATTAGAGCATAAATTAAAAGATCTTCCACTTCTGGAGATGGGTAATAGTAATGGCTGCACAATGAGAACGTATTCAATGCCACTGAACTGGGAGAGTGCTTGTCAGGAGTGCACAAGGCCCTGGGTTTGATCCCCAGAATTGCAAATAAACAAATAAAAGCAAAAATAAAAAAAATGTTTAAAGTGGTAAATTTCATGTATATTTTACCATAATTTTTTAAATAAAAATAACTGTTAACTAAAAATTAAAAAAAGTATGTGTGATGACATGCACCTGTAGTCCCAGCTACTCGGGAAGCTGAGGCAAGTTCAGGATCAGCCCAGGTAACATAGCAAGACCCTGTCTCAAATAAATAAAAGATTTCCCACCACTATTGTTCAAATATTTTCTTTGGGGACGTGGTCTCTTTTTAAAAAAAAACTTAAATTAATTCATATAGTATAACATTCATCATTTTTAAAATTTTTAACATATTAACAAGGGTTCCTATATTTTAATAGTGTTTCTTCTCTCTCCTTAATTGCATATACTAAAGCCTGCAAAGTATCTTAGAATGGCAAATCCTATAAGAAAAAACTAAGTGAAAATTTGTATTTATTGGTATAAAAAACCAATATTTATTCCTATGTTTTTTTAAAAAGTATCCTCACCTTTAGTGCATCGAATCCTCATAACTGCCTCAAAGCCAATTTTCCGAGTGAGGTATCTCTGTAGTTCCTTCTGTAATTTCTGTACTTGGACTGGGTTGTGCTGGTGATGGTAAGAAGGATAGTAATAGACACTACCTGCTGAGTACCGAGAAATACACCCTGGAAGAAAACATACACATTTTTCAAATAGTGGCATTACCTCCTATTACTATGGTAAAATAAGTGCAGACATTTGATTCAATTTTCTCTAACTTCTAAAGTCAAAAGAATATTCCATTCCGTAACTGTCAAAAGAATATTCTATTCCTCTAAATAGTAATGTAGACATTTTTCTATTTCTCCTCTACTAAATTAGAGTACAAGACGACTATGAAGTTTATAGTACATTAAATTGACTGTTAAACTGGGTATAATGTTGTGCACCTATAGTCCTGGCTATTTGTGAGGCTGAAGTATGAGGATCACTTAAATTCACAAGTCTAAGACCAGCTTGAAGCTGGGTGCAGTGGCCCTCACCTATAATTCTAGCAGCTCAGGACGCTAAGGCTGCTGGATCACCAAGTTCAAAGCCAGCTTCAGCAACTTAGTGAGGCCCTAAGCAATTCAGCAAGACTCTGTCTCTAAATAAAATATAAAAAAGGGTTGGGGATATTGCTTAGTGGTTAAGCAGCCCTGGGTTCAATCCCTGGTACTAGGAAAAAAAAAAAAAAAAACAGCTTGGGCAAGAGCCCATTTCAAAAAAAGAAATATCCAAACCAAAACTGACTCTTCCAAAACTCTCTGGAAGGAATAAAAATAAATTTATTGGGCTGGGGTTGTGGCTCAGTGGTACCGCACTTGCCTGGCATGAATAAGGCACTGGGTTCGATCCTCAGCACCACATACAAATAAATAAAAGATATTGTGTGTACATCTTCAACTAAAAAAGATATTAAAATAAATAAATAAATAAATCTATCTATCTACGTATCTGTTTATTTATTTATTTATTTTTGGTGGTGCTGGAGATTGAACCCAGGACCTTGTGCATGCGAGGTAAGCACTCCACCAACTGAGCTATATCCCCAACTTGGGAATAAAAATTTTACTTTTGTCCTCTACCTAGAATACCATCATGCTACCTGGAAAGCTAAAGCAGGAGGATTGCAAGTGCTCAGGGGCACCTTACCACTGAGTTACATCCCCAGTTCTTTTTTTGTTTGTTTTGTTTTTGTTTTTATTTTGAGATAGGATTTTGCTAAGTTGCTAAGGGTCTTGCTAAATGGATGAGGCTAGCCTCAAACTTGTGCAGTGGTAGAGAACTTGCCTAGCATATGCAAGGCCCTGGGTTCAATTCCCAGTACTGGGGAAAAACAAAAACAAAAAAACAATGAAATAAAATCATTTAAACACCATTTTGATACTCATTTAAGGGAAAAGAAAAAATCATCAGGAAACACTTACCCAGAGAAGCCAAATCAGAATATTGTCCACTGAGAAGGAACAAGTCAACAGCTATCTGCTGACCAGAACAGTCCAATGCTAATTTCTTATAGAAGTCAGTAGAAGGTGTCAGGTGTATTTCCTATGAATAAATTACAAAGAGTTTTTTTTTTTAAATCATTAAATTATCAAAAATGTAAATACACACCTACATATAGCAAGGTGTCAATAACAATTGTCTTTAGGGATTCTACATAATCTACAGTGCTTTTACTATTTGATTTTTTTCATTAAGAATTCAGGTACTGATTAAGAATTTTCTATGGGCTAGAAATGGAGCTCAGTGATATAGAACTTGACTAGGATGTGTGGGGCCCTGGGTTCGATCCTCAACACCACATATAAGTAAATAAAATAAAGGTATTGTGTGTCCACCTACAACTAAAAAAAAAATATATTACAAAATACCTCTATCATATTAATTTTGTAATAGGCAAAGATAGTCATTATAACCAAAATCTAGCGAATGCTCAGTATGCTGGGAATCATTCTAAATAATTCATATGCAATATCTACTTAGTCCTTACAACTACCCCAAGAAGTAGATACTATCAATATTTTCACTTTATATACACAGTAATAAAGCAACAAAGAAATGAAGTAACTAAGTTCACACATCTAAAGAGCAGTGGAATGTATAGGTAGTCTGACTCCAGGAGTAACTTCATAATCAATATATTATACTGACTTCTCATAATCTTTTGGGAAACACAGGTCTCAAGCCATTAAGTTTAGCTGGGAACAGTGGCACACACCTGAAATCTCAGCAACTCAGGAGGCAGAGGCAGGAAGATCAAGAGTTCAAAGCCAGCATCAGAAACTTAATGAGACCCTGTCTCTTAATAAAAATAAAAATGGGCTTGGAATGTAGCTCAGTGGTTAAGTGACGCTGGGTTCAATCCCTGGGTGCCAAAAACCACAAAAACCCCTAAAATTGTAAGTTTATACATATGAGGTACTCAAATGCAATCTGAGGCTGTCAATATACCAAGTTACAACCATTCCTAGCTGGTCATCCGGGTTTCCCTTTGTCCCTAGCAAGTACATTAACTCCACTTTTTTGGGGGGTTGGGAGTTGGGGGTTGAGGGTTGGGGGCAGGTACTAGGTATTGAACCCGGTGCGCTTAACCACTGAGCCTCATTCCTGGCCCTTTTTTATGTTTTATTTTGAGACAGGGTCTCACTAAGTTGTTTAGGGGCTTGCTAAATTGCTGGGGCTGGCTCTGAACTTAGAGATTCTCTTACCGCAGCCTCCCAGTTGCTGGGATTATAAATGGAACTGGAGACTGAATCCAAAGGTGTTTTACCATTGATCTACATTCCCAATTCTTTTTATTTTACATTTGAGATAGGGTCAAGCTAAATTGCCAGGCTAGCCTCAAACTTGCAATTCTCCTTCCTCAGCCTCCCAACTCACTGAGACTATAGGCATGCACCACCATGCCCAGCTTAGCAAGTACTTTCTTTTAGTCTCCCAAACTTTCTCTTCAAAGCCAGGCTGGATGACTAGTGGTACTAAAGATATTAAAAATAAGGCATGGGTGAATCAGGTAGAGAAAAATATAGTAAGGGTTTCATATAAAAGTGAAACCATTTATCTATTTCCTTATAATTCCTCCTCCTCACAACTGGAAATCTTCCCTGCCTCCTCCCGCTAAAAAAAAACCCTATAGTCAAAGGGACAAAGTACCAGCATTAATCTTATCACACACTTGATGACTTTCTAACCTTAGCAGATGATTTTTGGTTGGGTTCCTCTCGTGGCTTCAGGGCTCCCACTCCAAGAGTTGGGAGCTGTGTTTGAAAGACGGACATTCGACCACCAGTTGGGGACATCAGCTTAAAGGCAGCCTGAAGTGCAGGACCCAAGGCACTCTGGGTCTCCAGAGTCTTGGTAAACATTTGTGGCAAAGTTTTCAGTAATTCTTGAACAAGCTTGTGAAGTAAATAAAGAAAACTCAAGAGTGTTACAATTAATTATTTTCATAATAAGTCAGTATCTAATACAAAAGACAAAGACATTGAGTCATGATGATGATCAGAGAATCTACAGACACTACACTAAACAATGAAGTTGGTCAAATGACAAGAAAGCCATTTTAAGTCAACATTATAAATTGGCAAGCAAGACATCAAAATTGGGGCCTTACAGTTCTTGCACATGCAATAGCCCAGCAAGACTATAAGTCCAAAATGTATCCAAAAGAACCATAAGTTTAGAAATTTGATCTATTTTCATGCCATGAAATATGGCTTTCTCTGTCGCCTCTACACTTTATTCTTTTAAGTTCCAACATGAGTTAATTCTTCCCTGATGCAAAATCTAAGATATCCAGTAACTTTGCCAACCTTGTAATATCACTACAAAAGAAAAACAAAAATCAAAACCAACTACCTATTCAGGTTAGGTTGTACAAATAAAGAGAATAAATGGGGGAAAAATACTTTGCACCATGGCACAGTGACCACTGCCAACAGCAGAGACCATAGACTTGCTAGTTAAAATGTTACCCCTATGGCATATATGCATGTACAGGGTAGACAACATCCCCATTCAGACACATTCTGTTCACCTCTCAGTGTATTATGTCATGGCAATTTCCAGGCAGGTAATAAGAGTTTCTTCTGAACTGACCCCAATGACACTCTGTGAATCAGAAAAGCAAAGGGCACTGAGAGCAGCCTGGCTCATGTGCTTCTGTGTAGTGACGAGAAGCTTTATCTCAGCAACCCTCCCAACTTCCCAAAGGGCTGGCAAGACATATTTCCTTCAGATGTTGCTCCTTTCTGGAACAGGCTTCTCATCTATCCTACTAAAATACCTAGTTGCATTAGACTTAAAAATGATTGGCATGAGACTGAACTTGAGAACTGTTCATTTAATGAACTTAAACTAAGAGCAAGCTAAGATGCTACATAGCTTAGAAATGTCAAAGCAATCAGTAAAATTTTACTTAAAGTTCATTTAAAAAATATGCCTTCAGGACTGGGGTTGTAGCTCAGTGGTGAAGCACTTGCCTCAAGTGTGAGGCACTAAGTTTGGTCTTCAGCACCACATAAAAATAAATAAGTAAAATAAAGGTATTGTGTCCATGCACAACTAAGAAAAAAATTTTTTAAAATATGCCTTCAATATTTCAATCAAACATGTTGTGTAGGAAAATGTATCTTACCTCTTTACTTTCATTTAAGTTTACTAATAAGTTCTCTGGCATAGGTATAAAAACATCTGAAAGAATAAGTAAATATTTATTTTAAACAAAATTAAACTGTTAAGAATGTTCCAAATACACAACACTGATGCAATTCACTACTTTATACTTAAAGAAAAGCCTTCTCCCTGACTATAGACTACACATGTCCAAAGAGCTACCAAAACAGCACTGACTTGGGTATTTACAGCAACTTTTCTTGTTATTTGATGACTAATGAAGGTAAATAGCTTCCCAATTAGTAAACAGTGATCTGTAAGCACTCAGTAAGGGTTTGTGCAAGTGTTTTGTTTCCTAGGTTAAAGACAGCAACTCTTTTAAAAAATCTTGCTTTACTTTTTTTTAAGGCTGACCCTGCAAACCAGCCAAAGATACTCTTTGCATAAAAAAAAAAAAGAGGCAACACACAAAAATTTAACCTTTATACAGAATAACCGTTATTCCAAACACTGATATTTTTTCATAAAGACCCACATAAATGCCCCAACTAATGAGACTACAAAACCAATTACAAATGGGAGTTCATAATCCACTTGAATCAAATGTATGAAATATGATATGTCAAGAGCTTTGTAATGTTTTGAACAACTAAAAAAAAATGAATTAGAAAGAGTACTAATGTGGGGGCTGGGGTTGTGGCTCTGCGGTAGAGCACATGTGAGACCCTGGGTTAGATCCTCAGCACCACATAAAAATAAATAAACAAAATAAAGATATTGTGCCCATGTATAACTAAAAAAAATATTTAAAAAAAGAGTACTAATGTGACCACTTTAGGTGAGCCTCTCAAAATTCACATTTATTCCTGCTTAGGAATTGAATTCCCTTCCTTAGATGAAGGAAAGCAAACTAGGAAGAAAAGATAGGTGTTGGTGAATTATGAGGAAAATCACTTCCTATGTTTCTATACTGCTTTTGCTAAGAAAAAAATAAAGCTAATTATGAAGTTTGTAAAAAAAAATACAATAAGTAACTTAAAATATTAAATGTTTACTTTAGCTGTCATGAAAATTCTATTGCTAACTGTTCAGTTTTCTTCCTTTTATTCTTTAAAAAATTCACCCTCATGAAAAGAAGAGGTCTGAACTGGGTATGGTGGCTCATACCTGTAATCCTAATTATTCAGGAAGCTGAGGCAGGAGGATCACAAGTTTGAGGGCAGTTTGGGCAACTTGGTGTCTCCAAATAAAAAATAAAAAGGGATTGGAATGTAGCTCAGTGGTAGAGCACTTGTCTAACATGTGCTAAGGCTCTAGGCTCAAACCTCAGCACCACATTAAAAAATAAATAAATAAATAAATAATAAAATAAAAAAAGAGTATTCAGTTATTTTTTAATATACATATATTCACAGACTTTTCCACTACCATCATCATCTAATTCCAGATCTTTCTCATCATCTCAAAAAGAAACCCTGAAATCATGGTTACTTCCCATTACTACTTTCCCCAGGTTCCTAGCAACTAATGTACTTTCTTTTCCTATAGAGTTGCATATCCTGGACATTTTACATAAAGAGAGCCATAGTGGACTGGGATTATAGCTCAGTGGTAAGTGCTTGCCTAGCACGTGGAGGCCCTGAATTCAATGGTCAGCACCACATGAAAAATAAATAAATAGGGGCTGGGGATGTGGTTCAAGCGGTAGCGCGCTCGCCTGGTATGCGTGCGGCCCGGGTTCGATCCTCAGCACCACATACCAACAAAGATGTTGTGTCCACCGAGAACTAAAAAATAAATATTAAAAATTCTCTCTCTCTCTCTCTCTCTCTCTCCTCTCTCACTCTCTCTTTAAAAAAAAAAAAAAAATAAATAAATAAATAAATAAAATGTGTAGTGTTCATCTACAACCTTAAAAAGAGAAAGAGAGAGAGAGCGCCACACTATAGGTACTCTTTTGTGATTGGCTTCATTCACTAAGAATATTTTCAAAATTCATCCATATTAGTACGCATCAGTACTTTATTCTTTTTTATTGCTGAATAACATTTCATCATAAGAAAAGACTCTATCTGTTTATCTATTCATCAGATGGTGGGCATACAGTTGTTTCCACTTTTGGTCATATTGCCCTGAACATTTATATATGAATTTTTATGGATATGCTTTCTGGTTTTTTGAGTATACACCCATTGAGTAGAACTGCTAAGTCATATGGTAACTTTAACTTGTGTATGATTCTGTGTATCACTAGAGACTGAACCCTGCGGCACCCCACCACTGAGTTATATCCCCTTGGACCTTCTTTTTTTGTTGTTTTTGTGATGCTGGGGATTGAACCTGGAGCCTCAAGCATGCCCCCAGACCTTACTTATATTTGAAACAGAATCTTGCCAAGTTTCCCAGGCTGGCCTTGAATTTTTTATTCTTCTTGCCTCAGTGTCCCAAGTAACTGGGAATACAGGTGTGTGCCACTATGTTTGGCTTCTGTTTAACTTTTTGAGGAACTGCCGGACTGTTTTCCATAGTGGCTACACCGTTTCACATTCCCCTAACAGTATATGATTTTTCCAATTTTTGTTATTGTCCAAACCTTTCATTTTGGCCACCAACTTGGTGTGAGTGACATCTCATTGCACTTTTAATTTGTATTTGCCTGATAACTAATGCTGTAGAGCATGTATCAAATCTTTCTATAGAAATTTTGGTGGGAAGTGCTGGGGAGTGAACCCAGGGCTTTGGACAAGCTAAGCATGCACACTACCAGAGCTACACCTCTATCCCTAAAATATTGAATATTATATAATGAGTAGAGAAATGTCTATTCAAATCCTTTATCCACTCATTCACTGGGCTATTTGTCTTTTTATTGTTAACTTATAGGAGTTCTTTAGGTAATCTAGATATAAATTCTTTTTCAGATAGGATTTTCAAATATTTTCTCCACATAGCAGACTCATACCATACACTACTAATTTGCCAGGTCATGAATATTCCCCAAATAGAAAATTCCTTACACAGTTCATTAAATTTGTGTATAACATATACCTTCAATATCTGAAACTATTAGCATCTGAGGTTGAGAGAGACCTTCTTGAAGACTGTAGAAATGAATTGTACTGTCAAATGTTATGAAGCCAATTTTTGTTCTAGTGTTGCCAGGAAGCCTAAAAACAAATTCAGAAGAGTGTTTTATAAAATACATAAAATATATTCTAAGTATTATTACATGCAAATATCTAATTTACTATTACGGAAACTGGTCCAACACAAATTTTTAAACCATCCAATGTTTACAACTATGAAAACATCCCCCTCAATGGAAAACATGACACACATAAGCCAAATAATCAGTGAAAAACAGGAATAACAGCAATCCAACTTCTAATATGAAGTTATAGAGCATTTACTTGCCTGGCCTGTACAGCCCTGAGTTAATCCAGCACTGGGGGTGGGGACGGGGGTAAGAATGCTCCAAAAAATAATCATATTGGACTGGGGACATAACTCAGTTGGTAGAATGCTTGTCTCATACGAACAAGGCCCTGGGTTCAATTCTTAGCACAACAAAAAAGTATATAAATAAATAAAATCATATAACAACTCTAAAATGTAATGTGAATATAGGCAGTGCACCCCTAAAAAACTCTGCATGAATTTTATATATTTTTAAAAAATATTTATTTTTTAGTTTTAGGTGGATATAATATCTTTACATAATATCTTTATTTTATTTATGTGGTGCTGAGAATCGAACCCAGTGCCTCAGACATGCTAGGTGAACACTCCACCACTGAGCTACAACCCCTGCCCCATGAATTTTATTATATTGTTAAATGCATTTATTTAAAACAAAGAGGAGCAAAAGCATCTATTTTAAAGGAACTGTTTTTTTTGTTTTTTGTACCGAGGACTGAACCACTGAGCCACATCACCAGCCCTATTTTGCATTTTATTTAGAGACAGGGTCTCACTAGTTGCTCAGCACCTTGCTTTTGCTGAAATTGGCTTTGAACTCATGATCCCCCTGCCTCAGCCTCCCAGCAGCTGGGATTATAGGCATGTAAAGGAGGAGGATTAGATGATACAAGAAGAACAGAATACTAAAGATGAGAAAGTTGAGAGATGGGCAGTTCATTCAATTATTATTCCTTCTTACTACAGATTTGAAAATAATGTTCTTAAGAAAAAGTGAGTACTGCTGGGTGCAGTAATCCCAATGACTTGGGAGGCTGAGGCAGGAGGATCACAAGTTTGAGGCCAGTCTGGAAACTTGGAAAAACCCTGTCTCAAAATAAAAAATGCAAAGGGCAAAGACCATATAGCAGTGATAGAAGAATCCCTGGGTTTAATCCCAGGTATTACCACTCCCCCTCAAAAAAACCCAGTAATACCTAAGTGATTTAAATGAATTTTTAGAACATAAATTATATGACTTATTTTTGTATTTTGAAAACTAGTCATTCATTTTGCAAACACCATTAGTTACAGGTTTAAGCTGAATTGAGACACTTACAAATCCAGATTGTCTAACAAACTCTGGCAAACTGAATTCAAGTATCCAGTTTCAACTGCATTGTGAGACACATCAAAAACAAAGAGGTACACTGGAGGTTGTGGTGGTCGTAACTAAAGAAAAGAAGAATCTCATTAAATACATTTAATAGGATTAAATTTCAACTTATTTGTTGAGTTCACATACAGCAAAACCATAAAATATGCATTATTTACATACTAAGGGGAGATAACAGTAAAGTTACATCATAGTGTTTATAAATGCATACTTAAAGGAAAAATGAGTCTGGGATTGCCATATTGCAAGAGTATTTTCTCTAGGACAGAAAGGGGAAGAAATGTGATCAGAAGGGCTCATGGCAATATCAGTCACATTCAATTACATGACCTATATAGTGTTATGCAGTACTAACAAAAGTATTTACTTGTTAACCTGTATATTTACATTTTATTGACATTTTTATGTGAGCATATTTTGCAATTTAGGGAAATGATCGTTACGAAAGTGACAACTCAAGTTAGCCTTGGCTGATTATTTAACCAACATTTTTAGGTTAAATCCCACAAAAATTTAAGACTATGTATTTTATAAACTTACAAATCCCCAAAGACTTGTTTTCATTTCCTCTTTTTATTTTAGGTGGGGAGGACTGGGGATTGAAGCCAGGGGCACTCTACCACTGAGCTACATCCCTAGCCCCTTTTTATTTTTTTATTTTGAGATAGGGTCTTACTAAGTTACCGAGGCTGGCCTCAAACTTGCAGTCCAGCTGCCTCAGCCTCCTCAGTAGCTGGAATTATAGAAATTTGCCACTACACCTGGCCAAAGATTTGTTTTCAATTAAAACAAACAAACAAAAAAAAAGCATCAAATAGCCACAATCACAACTGGGCATACAGTACACTATTTTTTATTTATTTTTACATATATCACTTGCCAAATTCATAAAACCTGTCATTCAAGAGGTAAGCCAGGAAAAAAAAAAAAAAAAAAAGAGGTAAGAGGTAAGCCAGGAAAGAGTAAAAATCTTTTGCAATAGGCCAGTTTCCAAATTTAAGGGAAGCCATTTTGGCAAAACCTGGGCAATAAATGGCCTTATAAAGCTCAATTCAAAAGAACAAATGCTTCTGCTCTTCTGACTTTAATTCACCAAAGAAACAGTCATTCTGCAGAAAGCATTACCAACCACCACCAAATTTTTTATCTATAGCAAGACACTGACCTCTCATAAATTCCTCAGTATAATCAACCCAATTGCCAAGATAAAGACTATGCCACAAAAATATATTAAAATACTAGATTATTAAAGGTTGGTGATAAGTTTTATCTTCATATTCCCTTTCCCTAAGGGTAATTATGGCATAGCAAAAGAGAAAAGAAATCAAAAGACCTGAAATTTTTCCAACTACTGCCCAGTCACTTAATCTAAATTTATTTTCACATCTGTAAAATAGGATTAACACCATTTCCCTACCTTAGAGTATTACTTGTGATGATAAAAATGTAAGTGCTCTATAAAATGTAAAGTGCTAAGCATTTGGCATAATTATCTTTAAAATGCAAGGTCTCAGATACTTTCTGAAGAGTATAAAAGTACTTACAAGAGGATGTTCATCACAGCATTGTTTGTAAGAGAAAAAACTTGGGCATGATCAAATATAAATAGGGGTCCTATATTATACTGCAAATTTCTTGATGAACATACAAAAACTTCAGTGGAACTTTATATACACTTTTACTTTTCAAACTTATTCTTATCTACCAATTGCTTTTTTTAATGAATAGTATACTTTCTGAATTTAAAAACATAAAATTTTATTAAAGAATACTACATATTTTAACTTAAAATCCAATATTATAAAATGTGTACACTGTTTAAAAAAATGAAAGCTTACCATGTATTCTGAAGGAGCCATAAACTCAATAGTAGCGTTTTGAACTTCAGGTCTCCTGTGAGGTTCTCCATAAACTCTTGTCAAAGGATTGTACATGAACTCTTCAGGTACTGTATAAAGTTAACAATGTTACTGAAAGGATTAATTTAATATACCTTGCATTTGGCCATTTTCTTAACTTAGGGGTTTAGAATTAATTCAAAATAGTCTAAATATTAAGAATTAAACTCACTTGTTTGTTAATAAATTCACTTTTTAAAAAAGTTCCATTCAAGATCCTCACATACCAAGGGGCACTAAATATCTCTTATTTTTACAACTACAGTCATTATGATTTTTCTTTTCCTGTCTCTTGTTATCCTCTCTGTCTTAATTTTTACTAAAACTGCTTTCTGAAAATCAGTTGAAAAGATAAGAAAAATTGTCATTAAAAGTCAATTATTTTCCTAAATTTCAGTATACAAGGATTAACATTTGACATATGAAAAGTATAGAATGGCTAGACCTGAAAAGCCATGGTAAAACCACTTCAGAGGTTAAAATCATAAGAGAGTATACATTTTATTTATTATTAAGACATACAGAATATCAATTACCTACTACTTATATTAGTGCTCAGAATATTTTTTAAATTAATTATCATTGCAACTGTCTTCTCAGTAATTGTTTAGTAATTAAAATCCCTATGGACTCTAAAAGGTAAGCTACAGTTTGTGAAATTGGCTTGCATACATATAAAAGAAGCTTCTACCTTTATCACAATTTCATTTTGTATATTAAAACACATACCAATAAGATTATAAAGGTGCACTACACACTATACATACATTTTCTGAATTACTATATAGTAACTAAGTTTTCTTAAGCTATCTTTATTTTCCTCTACTTTTAAAAAATACACAAACAATAAAATTTTACAAAATCTCTGATTTTACAAAATCTCTTATATTCCTCTATTTCTCAATTTTTAGTTAACTTATTTTCACTAAGTTACTGAGGCTGGCCTCAAACTTGCAGACCAGCTGCCTCAGCCTCCTCAGTAGCTGGAAACATAGAAATTTTCAATGTGAATACTGGCATATTGATTTTCTTCCCTAATCCTAATTGAATGTCACTGGTTAGATGATATTCTTCAAACATAAATTATAAAGAAGTTACTGAGAGAAATCTCTTCCTCCTCAATTATTGAGAAAACTACATTCAACTGACCTTCTAGCACTGCCCACCTCCCTTCACACAGCAGTGAATGAATTAGGCTGCTAGTCTGTGGACTTAGTTTCTTTCACCCTAGAGAAAAGGCATGGGACAATTTCTAAATAAAAATATTTCTTAAGTCACTGTCTTAATACCATGAAATATACCATTTATTATATGCCCAATATAATAAATGTAAAAAAGTGATCACAAAATAATATTATTACATTTTTTGCTTAAAAAGTATATAATTATTTATTTGTAAGTAAATTTGCATAGAAAAAATTAACAGTGGCTTTCTCTCAGTGGAAGGATTGATTATAGGTAAATAACGGTAAATTCAAAGAATTGCTTTTATTTTTTTTGAAATAGGATCTCACTATGTTGTCATTTCCTGCTGCCTCAGCTTCCCTAGTAGCTGGGATTACAGATTCGTTTTTTTTTTCATTTCACATTTTTATTTATTATCTGATTTCCCTTCAATGCAAGTAGAAATTATAAAATGTTTCAAAAATCATACCATCATTGACTCGGTAACATAAGTTACACTTCCATCTTCTTTGATCAAGAAAGCTGACAAAAGGGTTAATGTATGTCCTGCATGAACGACATCTCACAATTGTACTGGAGGTAACCACAGGCAATTGCTGAAAAGACAAAACTAAGTTTGTAAAGGGAAAGATCCATTGTGTTAAAAGGGCAAGCATAAACCCATCTCTTCCACAAAATTATTAGGACATTTTAATTGGGGGGGGGAGGAAAACAAGGAGAATATGTGTTCAAAATACCACACATTTACAGCTAGAGGAATGGGAAGTTATGCTCCATTTGTGTACAATATATCGAAATTGTACATATATAACTGTCATATATAACTAATTAGAACTAATAAAAAAGAAAAAGAAAAAAATGCCATTCAAAAACAATTTATGTAGCTAAATGTTCTGATTTTAAATCCTATTATTTTTCTCCAAGATCATTCTCATTAAAATTTGCCTTTTAAAAAAATTATTTTCTCAAGGTTGGGGTTGTAGTTCAGTAGTAGTGTTTGCCTAGCACATGCAAGGCCTCAGGTTCGATCCTAAGTACCACATAAATTTAAATAAAGGTACTATGTCCAACTACACTTAAAAAATAAGTATTTTTTAAAAAATATTTTCTCATAAACATTCACATTACAAAATGAAAATACACTTACAATATATTTTTGGCATAGATGGCAAAGAAAACAGGAACAACATCCTGAAATAATGATGAATGAAATTATTCCCAGTTTTTGATGTTACATGAAGAGGGTTGTCTTAATTCTCACACAAGAACTGTCATAAAGTTAATTTGTATTTAAAGTTTATTCTACATATTAAAAGTTCTAGGGACTGGGGTTGTGGCTCAGCAGTACAGCGCCCACCTAGTGCATATTAGGCACTAGGTTCACTCCGCAGCCACACATAAAAATAAGTAAATAAAATAAAGGTATTGTGTCCACCTATAACTTAAAAAAAAAAAAAAAAAAAAGCTCTAGGGGCTGTTGCTGTAGCTTAGTGGCAGAGTGCTTGCCTTGCACATGTGAGGCACTGGGTTCAATCCTCAGCACAACATAAAAGCAAACAAATAAAATAAAGGCATGCTGTCCATCTACAACTACAAAAAATATTAAAAAAAAAAAAAGTTCTAAAATTTTATACCAAAAATCAACAAAGGGGGCTCAGTGGTAGGGTGCCTGCCTAGCTAGCACTGGTGAGGGGGAATCAATAAAGGCAATAAAATCCTATTACCAAAAGGAAAGTCACCTCACTCACACTGATCTTCAAGTATGGCTATATGTTAAGGTCTCAGAGTCTCAAGACATCAGTGGATCAACTCCTGCCCTTTCTAAAATTTTTTTATTTTATTTGAGAAAGGAGCAACTTCTTAAAATAACTAGTTTTGCTCTAAGAATGGCAGAATGAGGAGATGAAGGTAAAGTACTTTAATTGGTAAATAATCTATAATTTATTAAAATAGTACAGCTTATTTATGTTAGTACCTCTATTCTATTCAGCATCTGCTGAAATTTTTTTTCTGGTACTGAAGCCTGAACCCAAAGGCACTTTGCTACTGAGCTACAACAGCTCTTTTTATTTTGAGATAGGGTCTCACTAAGCTGCTTAGGACCTCATTAAGTTCCTGAGACTGGCTTTGAACTTGTGATCCTCCTGCCTCACTGGAATTATAGGCATGCACCTCCACTCCTGGCCTCTTGGATTTTTCAAAAATATACTTCTTTGACCTTGTTTGAAAGTGTTTTGATAATAAAATTACTGGTTAGATTACAAATACAGAAATCCAATCTGGCAGATTGGATTTCTCAGAGGGAGAATGCTCGATTCTCATGGCACTGGGTTCAATCCTCAGCACCACATAAAAATATAATAAAGATACTGTGTCCACCTATAACTAAAATTTTTTTTTTTAAAGAGAGTGAGAGAGGAGAGAGAGAGAGAATTTTTAATATTTATTTTTTTTAGTTCTCGGTGGACACAACATCTTTGTTCGTATGTGGTGCTGAGGATCGAACCCAGGCCGCACGCATGCCAGACGAGCGTGCTACCACTTGAGCCACATCCCCAGCCCCCTAAAAAATTTTTAAAAAATTAAAAAAGAAAGAAATCCATCAGTAATCAAGTTCCTAAGGATAGCTCAAATTCTATATATCATTCCTGAATTACTGTAGAAAATTTCTACCACTAAGATAATTTTCTAAAAGACTTTTACTTTCACTAGAGAAACATACCACTAGATCTTTGAAAGGATGAAGCAGCAGACCCAAAGGAAGTTTGGCTTTATTCAGTAAGGCCTGAGTCTGAGGAATGCTGGTCAGTGTGCATCGAAATAACCTGCATCAAGGTAAAAAGCATATGTCAGTTGCTGCTATGATTATCCTGAAAGGAAAAAAGAAAAGTATTTAACAGGTACATATCTTAATATTAGATCAGATTACAAATAAAATTTCTCAGTAGCCCCTCTCAATTTTTTTTTTGGACCGGGGATTGAACCCAGAGGCACTTAACCACTAAGCTACATCTCCAGTCCTTTTTTACATTTTATTTAGAGACAGGGTCTCAATGAATTGCTTAGGCCCTCACTAAATTGCTGACTGGCTTTTGAACTTGTGATTCTCCTGCCTCAGTCCCCCAAGTCACTGGGATTAAAGGTGTGAGACACCGTGCCTGGCGACCCTCTCTACTTTTATCCCATTAAAATATTTAAGTCTTAAGTTCTGTTCAAAAATAGAGTAGATGGCTACCCTGTATTATATAGCTAAAATATTGTCTCTTTTCTTGTTTTAGGTATAATATAGCCTCGACTATCAAATGACTTATTTTTATGTAAATCTAAATCACACTAGAATTAAAAGGTGATTACACACACTTATAAATGCACTTTATATTTTATTTATTTATTTTTGATACTGGGTATTGGAACCCAAGGCACTACTACTGAGCTACATCTTCAGTCCTTTGTATATTTTATTTTAAGACAGGGTCTCACTGAGCTTCTCAGAATTTCACTGAATTCCTGGATGTCTATAAGACTGGGATTATAGGCATGCACCTCCAGTGATACTCATGACTCAGTGCCTCAGCCTCCCAAATCACTGGGATTACAGGTGTGTGTTGCAATGCTTGACTTTTTTTTTTTTTTTTTTTTTTTTTTTTGAGACAGGGTCTTGCTATGTTGCCCAGTTTTCCAAGCTGGTTTGGAACTTCTGGGCTCAAGCAATCCTCCTGCCTCAGCTAGGACTATAGGTGCATGCTGCCATGCCTGAACAATTCATTCAATTTTGCTGAAGGTTGTAAAAAACTACTTCAAAATAGAAATAACAAATTTTGTAACAAAATTCAATTTCAGAGTCTTCACTACACACATTTAAACTTATAACAAATATTTAGGAAAAAAATTATAATTAGGTTTATAGTGAAATAAATTTAAAATGACAGCAAAAAAAGAACTACATAGACTCAAATAATTGTATTTGGGATGCATTACCAGAATGATAATGAAAAGCATAATCTTATCAGAGCTAATAGAAGCAGCAATCACTTCAAGAGTTACAACCCTAATTCTTAATTTAAAACATTTCAATCTCAAGTTTAAGTGTAAAAGGTTTTTCTTCTATATTAGACCTCTTTCATAAATTAGTCTACTTATACAGCTTATTCATAAAACATGAAACTAAAAAAATGTATTTTAAAAATTCTAGAAAATGTAGGACATTCATGATGTCACATATAATATGAAACAACACAATTTGAAACCCCTTACTCTGGGTTACAGTTGAGTTTCTGGATGTCTTCATGCAAATTTGGAACTGGAGGCTGCAAAGGTGTTGAGGGAAGCATATTTCTTTCTTGAAGAAGATTGATAACTCTTAGTCCCTCTGGATGTAGACTTAATCCACTCATGCTTGTAGTTAAATGATTAGCACCTAAGGGAGTCTACAGATATATAATTTAAAAGTAAGCAACTTTTGTTTTTCTCTTTCTAAAAGTAGTAAACTTGGTTCATTTCACTACATAATGAAAGTACAATCTATATTTCTTGGTCAATTTTTTGGTTCTGGAGAAATGTGTAAGTATAAAGGTTTTATAAAGTATCCATTATTATTCTAACTGGTTATAAAAAATGTTAATACAACTTCCTTAAACTTTCTTCATGTATATACAGTTTAAACCAAAAGGTAGAAAATAGATTGGGGAAAAAAGGCGAAACTTTACCTGAGTAAAGGCCTGGGGGCCACTTGGATAATTCAATGAAGAAGGTGGGATTCCAGTTGCACTAGGTGGTGTTGTGTTCTGATAACCAGGTGGTAAAGAGGGATATGCATATCCAACACTTCGGCTCATTTTGGGATTCTTATTAATAAGCTGTGGTGTTGCTAGAAACAAGGTAACTTTTAAGTTCTATTTTATATTCCAGAATACTTTAACTCAACACATGGATCCATTAAATTATGGGACTTATAACACCAAACTCCTTTGGATTAATTTAATAATCTCATTTATCAATTGAAGACAAACACTAGTAACGATTATAATCTAGCAATGATTATAATCTAGTTAATGTAGACTATAGCTATAAACACATACAAATAAGTTTGATATATTTAATTCACTTTCATGTCATGTAATAAATTTTGTATTCATATCACATTTCAATTTAAAAGAGCTTTAATGAAAACATCTTAGATGCTCGATTTATGGGATTGATTAAACAAATTTAGTTTATATAACTGATAAAAATAAAATAATAGATATGGCTACATAACACAGTATAAATTTTTTTAACTTAATTTCCTATAATAAGCAAATATGACTTCTATAATCAGAAACAAGATTTTTAAAAAAGAAATTTTCATAGCATCTCACCCAAGAAGCCACCTCCTTCAATTTCATCATAACTACTATGGACCGCCATAGATCCATTATTGGCATTTGATGTAATACCTAAGGAGCAAGTTCATTAATAATATTTAAGTTAGAATGGGTATTATAATTTCTATAAGATATGAACTAATATCTAAACTCTTAGATAATCTCCAAAAAAATAGTTTAAATCACTGCCTACCAAAAATATTGTCTTGGTAGCACACACCCATAATTCTAGCTACTGGGAGGTTGAGGCAGAAGGATATTGCAAGTTCAAAGCCAGCTGGGTCAACTTGGTGAGACCATGTCTCAAAATAAAAAATGAAAAGAGATAGGGATGTAGCTCAGAGGTAGAGTACTTGCCCTGTGTTAATGTCTAGTACTAGAAAGGAAAAAATGAGAAAATAACATAAACAGATGTATTTCAAAAAGTCTGGTGTTAGAAGAGGAAGAGGAAAAGGAAAAGGAGGAAGAGGAAGAGGAGGAGGAGGAGGAAAGAAGATTAAAGAGGAAGAAGAGGAGGAAGGAGAGGGAAAAAGAGGAAGCAGACTACAACCTACAGACAACCAACAGATACCTGAAAAAATGTTAACATCACTAATCATCAAGGAAATGTGAATCAAAACTATATGATGAGATAAAGTTCAAGACCAGACTACTGGGCAATTCAGCAGATCCTGTCTCAAAATATATAAAAAAGAGCTGGGGATGTATCTCAGTGGTTCAAGACCCCTGTGTTCAATCCCCAGTATTACACATACACAAAACAAAGACAAAAGTAATCCTGGAGTTGTGGTTCACAGGTAGAGTGCTGCCTAGTATGTGTGAGGCACTAGGTTTTATTCTTAGCACCACATAAAAATAAAGATATTGTGCCCACCTATAACTAAAAAATAAATATTTTTTAAAAAAAAAAATAAATAATCCTGGCAAGGATGTGGAAAAGGGTAACAGCTAGTGGAAATGTTAACCAGCACAGTAATTATGAGAAAGAGTATGGAAGTTCCTCAAACAACTAAAAACAGAAATATTAAATGATTTTGACAGGGTTGGGGTTGTAGCTCAGTTGGGCTGGGATTGTAACTCAGTGGTAGAGCACTCACCCTGCATG